ATCCCACTTCTCAGGCAGCTACAGCAGCAGCAGTGGCTGCGGCAGCCTGTGCCCGGTAGTGTTAAAATATTCGACCACCTAGGGTCCCATGGAATTTATTTAGCCCGAACCCCGGGCACACATTTCTGCCGCTTTTTATTAACTTTGGGCATGTCATCAGCTTGGACTCAGTCCGAACTCCTCACGCCTCTCTCTCATCTCTCTGGCCGCCCTGCCTGGCTTCTTTTTTGTCGTTAAGCGTTCGCCTAATTGAAATATTAGTCGAGGATCTCGCTGGGTGAGTCACGGGCCTCTGTGCTCGACATAGAGTTAGAGCCGAAGATGGATATGAGTCTGGGGTACGGGGCTAGGCAGAGGAGGAGGCCATGGAGGAGTTCTATGAATGCCTAAGAGTTCAGGAGTCTGCGACTCTTTTATTTATAGCCCATCCATCGCCTCATTGTGACTCGTGTGGCTCGAGTCGTTTTTGGTTATTTTTGCCACATTGCTGCTGGTGTCTGGAGTGGCAACTGGAAATGAGACAAGGCAGGGTGATGCTCGTATGTGGAAATGCTGCAGCGAATTGGGAATGCTCTATATCAACAGATGGAGTTGCACTTCTTTCTTGATTTTTTTTGTTAGAATTCTACACAATAATTCCCATCGAAACGTAGCCCGTACTGTAGTGTAGTTTCGCCTTCATCTTTAGCCATTATTCTACTGGTAAACCACCTCGAATTAGGGCATCCAAAAGCCCAACTGGCACTCAAACTGTCACTTGGCGGGGCTAATTACATGGAGAATATTTTTAGGCACAGACACGACGTTGATTATCTGCAATGCACGTGTCGGTTCGGTGTATTGGTCTCCATGCCTGTCTCTCTTTCTCCCTCTCTCTTTCTCCTCCGGTCGTTGTCTCTCTGCTCTCTGCTTGAGTTTGCCAAACAAAAAGAATGTTTGCCAAAAATGTCAAACGGCAGACGTTTTATTATCAGATTATCATCAGGCCAAGTCCGATGAGCTGTCACCTCCTAGCTAATGGGGGAAACGAAAGTAAATTTTGCATCACAACCGTTCATTGTCCTCTCCCCCTAAGAGCCAGAAAAGCAAACTCTGGCTATGCCTCAAACTCATGACTCACAGGCAGAGAGTTTCCCCATAAGGTGGGCTGGGATTGTTGCAGGGCAATTGGCACAAGTCATACCTGTATCATAGATAGGTCAAACAATCAATATTTGCTTAGTTTAAGGTGTTTGCCATCGTCATATGTGCTTGAACTACTTGGATCCCCATTTGAAGAGCGCGCCGCAGCGGAAATGCCACACGTATATTGCTGGCTGATAGATTAGGGGATCAACTGTGGCCTGGCATTGCTCGATGGTCTAATTAGACGCCAAGTCAACACTCAAGCACAGAGGTGAAATTAAATAAATATAATCATTAATTTATTTCGCTCATGCCTCTTGCCTCAACCCTCAACTTCAGTTAGGAATACGAGTCCGAGTCCGAGTCCGTAGTCAGGTCACAACCACAAATCATCAAAAGTCATTTAGCAAACATTTGAAGTTGAAAAATAGCCTTCAACTTGCTTCAATGCACTTGAAGAGAATCAACCGCAGAGCAGATGGACGGGGGGCCGTGTCCGCAGGGCTAAAAGGTAAGGTAAAGGTATGGGAAATTGGGAAACAGGGAAGAGGGGAACACGGGAACTGGCGGTACATTTTTTACGGAAGCGGCACAGGTATAGAAGAGCTAAACCAAAGAGTCACGTCACGCGTGGGTGCCCCCCAGTGCCCAGTGCCCATTGCCAGTGCCCAGTTCCAGTTCCAGTTGCAAGTCTTGGCAAGTTGAGCCCTAATACCCGGGCCGTGGCCAGGGCCCAGACCCAAACGATAGTGTACTTAACGCTGTTGAATAATTTCCACACAACCACGAAACCCAATTGAAATTAGAGCCCAGTCACAGAGCCACAGTTTCAGAGAGTCCCAGTCCCAGACCTGGCCACCACATGTCGCCCGCCGCTGACTTTGCCACTAACAACCTGCCGCCTCTGTCCCTCCAACGAGATCTGCTGGTGTGTGAGCCAAGTGCATTTCCATTTCCATTTCCTTGCCTTCTCGCCATCTATCTCTGTGTGAGTGTGTGTTTCTTGAACTGTATTTGTATCTGTATCTGTATTCGTGTGCTACTCATAATGCGGAAGATTGCACCAAGCTCACTCGGTTCCTCCTTTCCTTTCCGTTCCGTTCCGTTCGGCTCTGTCTCTGTCTCTGTCGTCTCCGTTGTTTATCTACTCTCTGAGATCTCAGATCTTGAGGTTCCTGCGTTCTGTACTTTGGCTGGCAAGTTTTTAACACAATTTAGCGGCGTCTCAGCTGAGAGAGTGCGGAAGGTGACTGAATCAAGGGTGGCGGCTTCAGGGGAGTGTCAGAGGGTGCCACAGCCCTATAACGAGCATTGTCTTCTGTTACCCTATGGCCAGCCCGTTTTCTGCAAACAGCCACAACAAATGCAACGCAGCAAACAACATTGATTCTTAGAATAATCTTAAAATTATGATTAGCCAAAAAAGCAGACCCGTCTGTCTGTCGAGTAATCTTTTTACTAACTCTTTCTCGACTTTAAAGACCTCGCACAATAATAGTTTTCGTGTAAATCCATTTATGAATGAAATATAGCACTGGCAATTCTTATCAATGATTAAACCACAATCTGGGTCATATCAATTCATTGATTTTGCTCTGCTGATAGCAATTCCTTATCAATCGAATTGTTATTTCCGTTTACAAGCTTTTGTTTAGAAGTTCGCGTAATTGAAAGGGTAATGCTTACCCAAGGCTAATGCTTATTTTTGTGGTGTAGTCATTTTATTTTCATTATTTTTGTTCAGCTTTTGTTTTCATTGCCTCCGGAAACCCCTACGAAAAGCCGGTGTATGCCCTCACTCCTTCTCCTCCCCCGCAGCCACAAATAGAATTTAGATGTGTGCGCCTGCGCACATTTTGAAAATTACTTTTGGAAAACACAACGTACATTTCATGTTGTCTTTCATGTTTGTTATTCTTGTGGGTTTCCTCGTGTTTGTTGATGATACAATGACGCTGCGTCTGGCAGCTGTTGTCTGTCGTCGGTTCTGAATGGGAGATAGTTAGTACTGGAGTACTGGGAGTATTCCCATATCCACATGAATGCCTGGATGTCTATCGTTTTACTTCCTGAATGCCACTCCCGCTGGCTCTGCACAATGCCCTCCGATTGTCTTGGAGATCTTTTTGCAGCTTTTCAAATATTTTACGAACATATGCAGAGGAGATTTACCTGTTTGGGGACGACAGGTGTGCCGAGTCCAAGCTTTACTTCCGTTTCCGTTGGAGTGGCGATGTCAGCTGTTAAAACTACTTGCTTGGAAGTGCTTCAATTCGCTGAGGTTCTGCTTTGTTGCAAATCGTATTAGAAGTGCCCGCATCTATCCGTGGACTGTGAACCCAGGCTTTGAATCAAAACAGAGTAAAAGAGGGCTCTTTGCTTCTGGGGTTTCTTACAATTGTCGCACTTGTCACCGCCACTTCTGTGGTCTCCCCTGTTACCCACTTCTGTTGCCCATTTTGTCGTCAGCTCTTTTATTGTTATGCCCGCTGCGTAGAACAAGTGGAAGCTTTGTTCAACAACAACATAAACAGCAGTAGTAGTAGCAGTAGCAGCAGCAGCTGGTAAAAAAACGTTAAGTTTACACGACTCCCAACTCCCAACCGCTGAGCAGCCACCGCTCTTGGGGTCGGGCGGGGTCTCCTCTTGCCGTTGTTGTTTCTTCAGTTGTGGGGTTGACATTTGACAATAAAGCAAATAATCATGGGAAAAAAGCAAAGTGCCCGAGAAGAATAGCTCTTCAAAGTATTATAATCGGAGGAAGATCAACATAAGTTAGATAAAAGCATTCAAAGAATGGAAACCCAACGGATGAAAGGTAAATTCAATTATGTTTGCAATGATTTATGTGATTCATAGCTTAATTATTCTAGAAATCTACCTTATTTGTAGTATCTGATGGTATCTGTTGGATATTCTGCATCCATATTCAATCGAATCTAAATCGCTTCTCCGTGCGATTCATAGCTTAAGTAATCCCCATAATCCAAATGATTCATCATTCTCTATACCCAAAATCTCGCCGATATTACTGATATGCTTCATTGTGTATAATTCCAAGTAGTCTTACAGGACTAGTATATTGTCCAACTGTAAACTTTATATGTATTACTCTAACTGACCTATCAGGAGCGCTCCCCGATTACGACAAAATTATTGTCGGGAGACATGCGATTGATAGCTCAGTCGATAGTTAGAGTAGGAGCGAAACAACAAACTTTTTCTCAATCAATAACCAATGATTGTTTTCCTTATCTATTTTCAGTTTTCTATTTTCTACTGTCCATTTTATGGATTGTCGGGAGCCACCTATAAAACACCAGCCCAATGCGATTGCTAGCTCAGTTGATAATTAAAATTGTAGCGGAACTAATCTCTTGAATTGATTTAAAGTGTTAAACTAAACAGTCCAGTGTCAAAAGGTATGCAATCAGAGGGCCATAATTAAGGAAAATAATTGTAATATCTTATTTAAGAAAATAATTTTCAATTTTAATAATATGGTATGTCGCCAAAGTGTGTGCCTTTTTTATTCTATTGCTGATGAGTTAACTCCTACTCGCTGGTACATAAATAACATAATATAAATCTAAAGATAGGGTATAGAAAATTCCATAAAAGACCTTGTTTCCACTCAAAGAGAGCGTGAGCGCAAAGTGCTCAAAACTCAACGCAGAAATGAGACTGAGAGTTGCTCTTGGCAACAAACTCAGCTGCAACTCTGTCGCTCTCTCGCTCTTGAGTTGTTTTCCCTACCAAACGCAATCGCACTCTAAAAATCCAATACCGAACGCATTAGCACTCCAAATTATTCCAACTGGTTTGAGTGAGTTTTTTCACGAGCGAGAAGAGTGAGTGAATTTCTCGTGACAGAAATTTTTCGGCCGAAAGCGGGCGATTTGAAAGATACAAAGATACATGTTTCGGCCGCGGACAAGGAAACAACAGAACTATGTCGAATTTTTCTCTGAATTCAGAAAAGTCCGTTGATAAAATTGATAATTTCGAGAAAAAGAAAATCACCTAAAACCGATATAATTGAACATCCCTAGCACTCGGTCGCGCGCGTATCTGCTATACGAAAAGATATTACCGAACCCCTCGAGCGGGAATTATTAATAAAAATTTAAATATAAACTGCCAATTAAGGTTTTGATTTGAAATTTTGGATTGATATCTGACGGTTTAGTGTGGTGAAAAGTTCAGCAAATTTCGAATTTCAACAGTCGGAGTAATTGTTCCATAGATCAAAGGATCCTAAAGCCCCGATTTGTGTAAAAGGACTTTCGATTCCGTGAACGGAATATCCAAAGTGAGTGCGATACCAAGTGCCCGTAAAGAACTTTGCACAAAAAACAGCAACGGCACAACAACAATCCCACCAACAACAGCCGGAGGAGCATCATCATAGACAACGGTTGTCCCTCCCGCCCCGTCCCGTCTGTCGGTCTCTGTTTGTGCCACCCGACCGGGCTGCATACAACCCAACAACTTCAGTCTACACTTGATATACATATATACTACAGATATATATACAAAGTATATATATAAAACAAAAACGATCGATTCTCGTGTGCGCGTGTGCGAGTGTGTGAGTGCGTGTTGCATATATTGAGCCGACGGTTCCGACGACTTTGCTATATAATCGGGTGGTACGCACACAGATTCAAATACAGATACAGATACAATACACCCATCGCTGCCACAGATACAGCTGCAGATACATAAATATATATGTATGGGTGTATGTATCTATCCAAAGTAGAAGATATATATGCGTATAAGCTGAACGCGGCGCACTCTGCTCTGTTTTTTCTTTTATAATTACTTTTGGCTAAAATTAGAAAACGTGTGTGTTGCGCCAATGATTTTGAGTGTGTGTGTGCGTGTGTGTCTGCCTCACTAGTACTAGTATCTGTGTCTGGCTATATCGCTGGTACATCATCATCATCATCACCACCACAGTCGTCGTCAGAGACGATGTCTTCAGCGGCCGTGTGTGTGCCAGAAAACACTCGTCGCCAGTGAATCAGACTACGACTAGCACTACGGCTACGGGCTATATAGTAGACATCGGGCGAAGATCGCGTATACAGCCAGACAAACATTATCTATCGTATATCGTGCGGCGGCGAGGAGTATTACACTTACAACTCGGCAACGAAGACGCCGCATAAACGACAAAACCGATCCCCGATCCGATTCAATACGATTCGAAACGATCCGTTCCCGATTCGGCAGCCGAAGCCGAGGCCGAGGCCGAGACCGGGACGAGTCAATCTTGCGCGCGTGAAAAACCTCGTGAGGGAAAAATCAAACGCCACGCGACCTTACCTCTCTCACTCTCTCGTTCAATTGGGGGGGCGTGCAACGGGGCGTGGCCGTGCGTCGACTCCAAAGCGCTCAAGTGAAACGTGTAGCTGAACCAACAACAACAAACACAAAACAACAAGAAGAATTTTAAAGAAATTTTTATTTATTCAAAAGATAGTTTTGGCAAAGATAAAAAAGAATAAAAAACGCGACGGGCAAACAAAATGAGTCACCAGCAACATCAAAAGCAAAATCAACATTATCTGTGGCATACAACAGCAACAAAGTGTTAACAAATTAATGCTACAAAAAGTGAAAATCAGAAACAGTCGAAAAAAACATTCTTACCACCAATTGCATCTCTCGCCCGAGCAGTTTGTGTCTCTCTTGCTCCTGCTGTCGCTCAAAATGCTACGAAATTATCGAAAGTATTTGCAGGATAAACGGAAATACGACAAGGCACAACGCGGACGCAGCAGCAGCAGCAGCAGCAGTAGCAGCAGCAGCAACATTTGTCACGATTAAACGCGAGTCGATAAGGATATTACCAGCAGGAGCGGAATACCACAAGAAAAGGAGCGACACTCCAGAAGCAATTGCAACGGATAGAACTGAGCTTTTAGCCAGACGAGGAAGATCCTTTCAGATTTTGTACATAAAATCAGGGCAATAGCAACAACAATTTTGGAGGACGCCATGTATGCGCAACATTTGCGCAAATGGAGTCTAAAAACAAAAAAGCCACTAATGCCATTGATATTGCTAATTATCTACGTCAGCAACATGCTGCTGCCGACGACAGCAGCAGCCACAGTGGCATCCACACAGCAACAGTTGCAACAACAACAACTACAACCACAAAGATTATGGGAAGTCAGTGCAGAAGAAAGCAGCTACTATATACCACTGACTTTGGATAATGGCAGCGGGAGCAGTAGCACCAGCATCAGCAGCAGTGAAAGCGCCAAGATCACTGGCAGTACCAGGGGCAGAGGCAGTGGCGGTGGCAGTGGCAGCAGCAGCAGCCACCTTAGTAGCAGCAACATCGACAACAATATCTTAAGTAGGCTGCTCAGCCGCACCAGCAATAGTCTTAGTAGCCGTAGCAATCTTAAGTTAAAGCCAGCAACAGTATTCGACGCCGGCAGCAATGCAGCTGTACAGCAACAGCAACAGCAACTGCACCTGCAACAAGAGCAACAGCAGCCACAGAAGCAACAGCAGCAAGTGCCACATGTTGCTGCCGCCGTGTCAATGCAGCAGTCAATGCAAAAAGTTCCAAATACTTTAATAAATAGTCAAATATATAATTTATTAAACAGTGGCAGGCCCAGCGAGGCGGCGAGCAGTAAAATGCGTCGCCACATACCAACAACTCAATTGCAACTACAGCCGCAGCAGCCCAAGTTGCAGCAACCCAGCTTACCGCGTCCAGTGAGCAATTACAGTAGGCGAGCCACGCAAAGCTATCTCATCGAGTCCTACGAAGTACCAGACAGCGAGACTCTGGATGAGGACAGTCCAGAGCAGGCGGCACGTAATCGGCGCGACGGCAACCAGCGGCCACATCGCTCCGGCCTTCGCCAGCAGCTGCAGCAGGACAAGCGGGATCATCGCCGCCAGCGTCAGCATCAGCGACACGAGCAGAGACTGCGCCAGCACCAGCCCTCCCAGCAGCAGCAGCAACAGCGGAGGAAGCATCCCCGGAAGCACAGGGGACGGCAGCGGGCCGGACGCTACTGCTCCGCCCGAGATCCTGCCCAGCTGGCCTACTCAGCGCCCACCGTCTTCCAGGGCGTGTTCATCTCCATGTCGGCCGACCGGCGGGTCAACTTCTCGGCCACCATGAAGGTGCTCAAGGTGTACAAGCAGCAGCGGGATCTGCAGCTGCCCCAGCTGGTCCGGCTGCAGTTCGCTCTGCGCAACGCCAGCGGCGAGTGCGACATCTACAGGGAGCGACTGGTGCCGCGCGGTGTACTCCGATCCGGGAACGATCTACAGCAGTCCTCGGATATATCCTACATGATGTTTGTCCAGCAAACGAATCCGGGCAACTTCACCATCCTTGGCCAGCCCGTGCGGGTCACCCACTCGGTGATGGAATCGGTCAAAATGGCTGTGAGTGAAAATTATGGTGAGTTGATTTCGATTTTTTACTACTCTAAGAAAATATAGCTGGGGTACTCTTGAAGAAGGGAATAATGAAATGTTATGTTAGGAAATTGATAAATTTATTAAAAATTCGATAAAATTTACACTTGCGAATAAAAACCTTTGAAAAATCTCTAACTTCCCTCTCTGTCGCGTACTCGTTTATCGCTGAACACCTTTCTTTTGGGTTCGTTTCCTCTCATTTCCTTTTCTTTCACTCTGTGTCTTTTAAACCCGCTGGTGCAGCTGCCTCTTCTCCGCGCCGCTGTTGTTGTTGTTTGATGAAATTAAGCTCCTTTTTTTTGCTGAATTTCTTATTTGCCAACTTCACGCTCTGCTAATATTCACCAGACCGAAATAATTTTATGCAACACACATACATACACACACACACACACACATGAACATGGATAGCGTTGCGCATGCGCCCGGCCGATGCAACTTTTTGTTGAAGCTTCTGCCGCTGTGCTCCAAGTGCAAGTCTAGGCCGGCCTCGGCTTGGTCTTCTTCTGGGATTCTTTTGTGCCTTCCCTCAATTTGGTTGCTGGGCAGCGGCAACAAAAATGCTCACATTTAGAATTTATAATACCCTCAATTTCCACAAAATATAAAATTCATAAACCATACATAGAGCATTCCGATAAACAACTACAAGTCAAGATAAAATTAACCTTTATCAAAATGTGACTTTAATATCAGTTAAAGATGTATTTATAAACATTTATCGCTGCCATGTAGCGAATGGCTATCAAAAGTGTATATAAATCTTCGGCATGGCTGTCCTTTCTCTGTTGATATTCGTATTATTGCTGCTGTTGCTAGTTGCACATTTTAATTAAATTCGCATTAACTTTGCTCGCTGCTCGGCAGCCAACTTACAGTCCCTCGGTTGGAAAAACTTTGAAAACTCATTTCTGGTCTCCGATGGAGTCTCTCCACCAGAGATCCAACTTCACATCGTCATCGTCATTGCTATTCTTCTGCTTCGTCTTTTAGTTGTTGTCTCTGCAGTCGACCTTTGCGGTTGGGAGACGAGACCGAGACCCAACCCTAAGTTCTGCTCTTCCTCTCTCTCTCCGCCTCCACCCCTGCTTCTGGCTCTTGTTCATACAGTTGTTGTTGTTGTAATTATTCTGGCGTTGCGGTTCATGAAGTTTTGCGTCTGGTAAGGCGGCTAAGTGCGATCAACCGACCGCCTGCCTTCCCCTCCTCCCCCGGCCTTTGTTTTGGTTTTGTTTTTATTTATTTACATTTGTCTCTCTCTCTCTCTCCCTCTCTCTCTCTCCCACTCACTGTCTCTCTCTCTGGCATCAGTCTGTCTCTGTCCTTGTTTCATTGCGGGCGCAATTAGATTTTTAATTCATTTTTCCCTCTCCCTTCTCTCTCTCTCTCTCTCTCTGTTGCTCTCTGTTTGCTACTGCTTATTTTTCTCTTTTCTTTGGCTGCGGCTGTTTCAGCTTGTGCTTCTTCCGTCATGGTTCCCGCACACCGCACACCAAGAGAGCGGATGTCAGTGAGAGAGCGGGTGGGTGGCCAAGACTGGGCTTTGTATCAAAAGCACACAAGCACTGTCCAGTGGCTGCAACCAGGAGCAACTTCTAGCAATGCTTCACCTTATTTTGATACACTTTGCCTTCTGCCCGCCTGCTCCTCCCCCTCTTCCAGAAGCAACCCTTTGGCGATTACAGAAGATCCGAAATCAGCTGCAATCAGCTGTTCCCTGTACACTCCCTGTCGCCCTGTCTCACTCTTGCACTCTTTGTCTTTTGGGGTTTATTATCTTGTGTTTATTTACTCTTTGCATTGCTTCTGTTTCTGTTTCTGCTTCCTTCTGGCTGCCTCACTCCTTTTGGATTCCACCTCTCTGCCTATGATTTGGCTGCTCCATCAATGAATGGGAATGGGACTGGGCAGTGCGAATGAGTAGGAAAGAATCAGAGAAGCATAGGAATAACAGGATATTTACTTTTTTGTTTCGATTGATTTATTTTGCTTTGACTTTGATTTGGCGTTGCTTTTGTTGCAGACGCAGCGAATGTTTCGGGGATTTGCATCTGGTGGCGAAACTGGTAGCGAGTTTCGACAACGTAGGGGTCGGTCGGTTGGGTCTCTATAAAAAGCGATTACTCATCGAAATGCATACTAATCAATCCCCACCCACTCAAATCGAACGCTTCTGTTGAGATCTACTCCTTTCACTTTGGTTGCCGCAAATATGCCAATTTCTTTAGATGGTCCCAAACTTATTTGCATATAGGGCCATTAAGCCCGAAGATAAAGCCTGAAATCGTCAGACAAATCGATAAAATCTCAGCCCCCAATCAGAGTCACCAAAGGTGATAAAAACACACAAAAAAACATCGAATAGATCAATCAAAAACTGAGTCAGTTTTTGGGTTTCTGCAACCTGAAATCCATGGGTGTTAGGCGGGGGAGATTCGGGGGCGATTTACGAGTATTATCCATACGCCCCGTGTGACGCAGCGAGAGCAGAGCTCTGCTCACGGGAGCTCTGTTTATAACCAATTAAAATGCCTTCGAACCTGACTGAATCGGTAGTATCATGAATTGACTGGTCGCATTTTATGCCTAATTTACACCCACGCCATGAACGTCAGGTCTTACCAAATATAACTCTCCACTCCACTCCGCTTGAGTCCAAATGTGACTTGGAATATAACAACAACCACAAAAAGCCCAAAAACAATGAAAAGGCCATGTGAAAAATAAATTTTAAAAATCACAGGTAGGTTTTTGGTTTTGGTTTTCGGGCTATTATAGTTTTTTTTTCTCGTCTTTTTTTCGGACTGCTGATTGCGGCTGCTGCTGGGTGCTGCTGCTGCTTCTGCTTCTGATGTTGATGTTGTTGTTGTTGAGGTGTTAAGTAAATTAGCTGCTCATAAAACATGATTTGATCTGGCAGAAGTCCGCGTCAAAGCAGAATCGGCAGCCCATCTTCTCGTATATTTGTTTGTTTGTTTGTTTGACCAAAAGCGGAGACAAACTGGCACAAATCAAATACGTACTCGTACGCGTAGGTGTACGAGCATTATTAACAGATATAGATGTCACATGGCAGAGTATTTCCGATCTGATAAAACTAAAAGATAATTGTCGGCAATACACCCTGTATTTGCTGAGGGTGTTTAAAGTACATAAATATAGGCGGATACACAGAAGCTTCACCCTTTCTTTCATGTGTTATATGATCTTTATACAATTATGTACATATCTTGTCAGGGATAGGTGTTCTATGTGTATTATGTAATTATTTCCCACACCTATGCTCAGTCAGCATTGAATATTAATTTTGTTTGCGGTTTGCCTCTTGTCACATTGCCAAAGCATAATAATAATCTGTAGAATTTATAGATTTCATTGAGAAAAGCCTAGGTATACCTGAGAGAAAACCCCCAGAGAACCTTGACAGCGGGTTTCCATTTCCCGCAGCAGCGCTTGCCATGGGATGGATGGATTACTTTCGACTCTTGTTTCATTTCTGCTCTCAGTTCTGGTACTCTTTCTCCCTCTCTCAATGGTTGCACTTGTTGCTTCTGTTCTGAAAACTACTCGTACATATGTGTGTACGTATGTTTAGCAAGCGATTGCAAAATGGAAAGAAAGAAAATGCTTTGCCAGAGCGGAAAATGCTCTGCACCGTTCGTATATTTAGGTCAACGCCTACGAGTAGAAGCGACAAACTTACTCAACGGCACCCACAATTCATCATTTCTCCTCATCTCATATTTTCTTTCGTTTGGTTGTCTTTTTTGTTGTTGTTGCTGTTTTTTTGTGTGTCATTTTGGGGGTGTCTGGTCTACCTGGTCATAAGATTTTAATACATTTTCCTCTCGCTTTTTGGGGAAAATTGTGGATGGGGTGGGGGCTCATTTAGCGTCACGCCAGAGAAAATCCAACGACGACAGAGACAACTTTACGTTAGCTTTTGTATTTTGTTTGTTGGTTGCTGGTTTTTTCCTCTTTTTTTGTTGGTAATTAAGTATGAATGGCGCTAGACGACGAACCTTGGTTCATATAGGTATAGTACACGTACATACATAAGTGTAAAGGGTAGTCCCAGTCAAAGTCCCAGTCTATCAGTCCCTCTGTTTGGGTAGGGGCCCCTTTGGGATTTTGCTGGGACTGCGGGGCTGCCTGGCGGGCCGTTTGGCATGCGGGAAATAGAAAATTATAACGAAATGAAATTTTCAAATGGCATGCCATGTTTGTTTCCTTGCCCTGCCATGTCTTGCCGCGACCAGAGTCGCCTCGCGACTCGTCGGTTGCCTCGTTTATGAGTTTTATGCTATTTCTGGCCGCGCCGACAGCAGCAACATCACGCAGCTGAAAGCCATTCGAGAGTAGGAAGACATCTTGGCCGCCATAGACTTGCCAAAAAGCAAAAGAAAATCAAAAAAACAACAACAAAAAATGAACAGAACAGCCAGCACAGAACGGAACCCTCCTATGAAAAAAAGAAATTGAAATTATAAAGAAAATCTGATGGTTGTTAGCCCTGGGTCTGTGGCAGTGCCTATGCCTGTGGCTGCAATTTGCATCCATCGGTTGCATCCATCGTGGCGCTAATGGAGCAATCTTGGCCGGATGGAGAAGCAGCCCAGCCGATCAATGGAGCCCCTCTGTTGCATAGCGGATGTGACATAATCTGATTGCCATGAATACGATGCGACTATATAGCTGAAATGGATAAAACGCCTGGCATTCAATGCCCATCAATGGATTTGTGTGGCTCTACAGTGTGGATCTGTGGAACTACATGTGTCGATCCACTAGATCTGTGTCGGCTCGATATCAAAGGAAAGACGTAGGCCCCACAGGTGGCGCTTCCTCAAGCTGGTCATTAGGTTAAGGGAAATTTAGAGCAAAACGAACACTGGATACCCTTTTGGCAAAATCCATCTAGTGATTAATGAGATGAGGATAAAACACTGGGGAGGTGGATAAAAAAATGCTGCTCTTCTT